ATAGCAAATATGGCAGAGGGGGCGGGGGGGGAGGGAGAAAATTATTGTTGTTGTTGTTATTATTGCCACCATATGCAATCATGAGGTTTGATGACATGTCTATGCATATATATGTACATAGCTACATACATACATATGTAAGTATATGCACGCGTATGTAGATGCAGTCACTCACAGAAGTATGTAGGTATGTATTCGCAATTTAGTTTTTCACAATGTTCAAAATGTTTTCCATTACAAATACTTTTCCATATTTTTTTTTTAAACAAATACATGTAGATGTACATACATACATACATACATATGTTCATAGTTCAAAAACCATATGTACATACATATATCGTTTTACCTTAATATACCTAAAAAAGCACCATCTAAACTTTGTGTGCCTTTACAAAATCTAAAGTTCTTCCGTTGCGTATTTCTACAACACTGAAGTCCGAAAGAAAATACATACATACATACATATGTACATATGAGGCCCAGTGTTGCTAGAACTTTTTGGGCCGACCGGCTACATTGGCAAAAAAAAGCGGCTAAAAACGGCTAAAATTTTTCAACTAAAATTCGCATGTTTTATTTAAATAAATCACAAGTAGAAAGACTAGTAAATAAATTCATTAAATAAATCTCAAAAACGGAGACTGGTAAATTCATTACAAATTATTTTTATTTAAAAAAAGGAAACTGTCGTTATATGTATGTACGTAGCTAAGCTTTACATCAGAAGTCATGTTTGTATTACTTAAATACAAACAAGTAATTTTTAGCAAAAATTCTTCCAATTCTCATATAAAAATATATATATGTATATGTATGTATGTATATATCTCATGATCCAATGATCCGATCTAAACCAGATTAGTATGGGACCACCTCTGAGACACTACCTTTCCGATGCAAAAATAATTATCGATTATCGGTTGACGTGGTCCAAAAAAAAAAATAAAATCCGACAAACTGATAACCTCCTCCTTTTTTGGAAGTCGGTTAAAAAACAAGATCAATTACAAACTTATGCCATTTTCTTTTCTATTGAAAAAGTTTGCCTTCTTATATTGTAAAATTTGCACTAGATTATTTTTTATCCTTCAAAGTGGCTACTCTAGGTGCAATCCCGTATTCCTCGGACTCGGACTAGTGAAACTGTCAAAAAAATAAAAATTCGCTCAGAGCGAGAGAGTAACATTGAAAAGTAAGGGATCGCTTTCTAGTAAAAAATGGTAACTTCTGTCAACTTCAACATAACCTCCAAATTTTGGTTGTAAATTTTTGCTTATTTTGTATGTAAACACACTCAGCTCACACATGTAAATAACCAACAATACTTTCAAATTCATTAGAATCCACTTAAACAAGTAATTAAATACTTTTCAACATGAATTAGCAGAGTGCACTTTTCTTTTGTTTACAATTTGGTTGCTAAACACACTACAGCTGATCGTTTGACACATTTACCAGAATTTACTAGCAAACAATTCTCGGACTAAAACTGGTAATTTCTGACAGAGAGATAACCGTATTTACTCTCTTTTTTGTCCTCTCAGTAGTCAGAGAACCGAGTACGGGATCGATTCTGACTATTTCTGACTAGTCCGGACTCGTACGGGATCGCAACTTTTATTAGAAAGTATTGCACTTTTGCTAAGTCGAAGGGCAATATTTTAAGAAATGAACACGTACGTACATATGTACATGTATATATACATATAAACATATGTCAAGCTGTGAAAGGGCTGAGGCAACATTATTTCGAGAAAATACAACGCCATTAATTTGCATACATATGTATGTATGTAAGTATGTATATCGAAAAAACAAGTATGTAGCTTTTTATATTTTTAACAATTAAAAGCGCAGTTAGTCAACGACGTAGCGCAATCGTAGGTTGACGTACGCAGCTTATGAAATTTACTGTTGATAGAGAGAGAGAAAAGCAACGCCATGCGGTGGTGAGTTTTCGTCAACACGCGCATCCCGTAAGGTAGATCGTGTCTGCGTCAACCTACGTCTACGTTACGTCGTTGACTGTTTGCGCTTTTAATTGTATTTTTATGTCCATATATTCGAAACGTTCCCGTTTTTAATGGCCTCTCTGCACACGCCTGATACAATTATTCACAGATGTTGCCTTCCCAGAGAATTTTTCTTTATTTCGTTATTTTACAAGTGTTGCGAATACAACGTCACACTTAAGTTTAAGACATTCGTAACAAAAATTGTATGAAGAAAATCCCCACTACGTTCTTCTTTGGAAAAAATACAGTGACCCAAATTTAAAGTGGAACGCGACATTTTAGTAAGTTTTGGCTATTTTTCCTTAGTTTATTTAACGTTTATTATTTTCTTATGAAAAAACTTACTGTGCGCGCACATGTTCGCCGTGTGTAGCCACTGTTAGTTTCCGTGTTGGTTTATGGCAACCCCTGGTATGCGCACACAATGGAGTAACTAGAACTGTAAAACTACTCCGGCTTCTACATGATTATTTATCCATTCAAAGTATCAAAAGGAAATACAAGAATCTCCAACAGTTGACTAACCCTTGCTTATATCAATAATATCTTCCATCGACGCAGAATCACTAACACAATGGTATGGTTCCAAAAAGATATTCAAACTAGTTTTTTCTAATTTAATTACACCCGATTTACATGATTCAAGTACTTCAAAGCAATTCTGATTCATTTTCTTTTGTGTTTTCTCATGGTGTAATAAAACAAGGTGTTGTCAGTAACTTAACCTCACTTTTTCGGTACGCATATTCCGGCAACGCATTTTAAGGTAGTAGAAAATGGGGACAAATTTTGGCCCTTTTTACTCCGTTTTTCGTACTATTTTTACAATAATATGGAAGTTTAAAGTATTTGTGTACCTTTATTAATTTCGAGAACTAACTCAATGCTGACTTTTTTGGAGATTCTTGTTTCTTACAAGGACAAAATAAAATCGATTAGATTTTTCCGCGGGATGAGCAAGTTAAATAAAAGCTCGTAAAAATGAATTCAGCTAAACAAAATAAAAACCATCGTTTTGAGTAGATCTAATTAAAAGTAATATTTTATAATTAAGGGTTCTAAATGTTGTTGGTTACACACACCTCAGTTATTTGAGGATTTATTTAAATCCTTAATGCGGAAATGCATTCGGCATTTGAATAAAAGTTTTTTAACTCTCTCCGGCAATTGCGAGGTGGACGATGACCGCAACATTTTCTCCATAAGATTAGCACCGGTCAATGTGGCTCACTTGGTCAAACTTGGAGGTAGAAAAGCGGTTGACCGTGCAACAAAACTACTGGAAAAGAAGAAATTAGGCTTTCCTTACTTGCAAATAAAAGTTATGTATACCTGGCTGGATAAGGTACCAAAAACAAAGTTAAATGTGGTGGGTTGTTATGCAAATGCACTGGGCACTAAAAGGCATTGTATCCAATGGCTTAAAAATACGTTTCACTGGATCAAATGCAGTGGTCGAAAGTTTTTTTTTGCAAATTTTCAACTGGCCAATTCTGTATACCAAACTTTAGTCGAGGCATAAACTTTACTTGCACCACAACTAGTATTAGCATTACTAAACTTAACTAGTTTTTTAAACTGCTTACTAAACTTAAAACGATTTATTTCATTGAAACACCCGCAATTTTATAATTTATAACTCAGAGTTCCAGATTTTCAGTCTAATTTGCAACACGAAAATTTACAATGAAGAACAGTGATGCAAACGATTTCTTTTAGAACGATATCATGAAAAGGAGTAGTGTTTTAGTACTATTTTCCTAAAGTTTTTGGTATAAATATGTGAGTAGGCATCATTGTAAATAAGCGTACGGATTTTGTCAAAATTACAACAAACACATCGCTACTGACAACACCTTATTATTATTCCACCATGGTGTTTTCTATTTGCTTCGACACGCTTAAATATTGGTAAATTCCAGTTTTTGGTTCTTTAAATGGGAAACAACGAAAATGTCAAAAGCAAACCAGTTAACGGTACAGACGCACTACTCTTCCCTTTTCTTCTCAACCCCTCTCTTCCACTAGCAAGCAGAATTGAGATCAATACTTAAACCGCGTAAAACCCGGTAATAGGTAAAAAATAGTGATGTGTAAGTAAGCAAATCAATGTTGCCAAGTTCCTATTTTCAAAAATAAAAAATGCATACTAAGCACCTAGTAGGTACATATAATATAAACAATATGTATATTTCCGCAAACAAAGACTATCGATAGTGGCAACGACCATTCGATTGTGCAAAAAAAAAAAATAGAACCATTCGATAGTACCATCGATCGTTTTACAGCTCTAGGAGTAACTCAAGAAAGCTACCCGTTATACATCCTCCACAAACATATCTACATATCGTCGCCTGGGTAAAATATTGTCGTAGGTATGTTGATTTCGGCAGGTTGTGGGAAATCGCGACTGAAGTTTGGAATGCAATTTCTCAAAAACGCGAGGATAGAGTTTCTCCAAAGTCTCTGAAAATGTTACTAGTTCACAAAATTCTTAAAATATTTAAATTTTTAATGTTTATTGTTAATTAGTTTTGAGTTTATGAAGGATTTTATTTAGTAAAACGACAAAATGTCATTAAAAATTATACTAAATTAATGATACTTGCATACTCAATATCTCGGAAGCTAAAGGAGATATCCAAAAATGGAGAACGCAATTTTTAAGGTATTGATTAGTTTAATATGACTGCATCACTAACTAAATTTTTGCCAAATTATCGAAAAAAATTTTAGTCAATATCTCGGAAACTAAAGAAGATATCTAAAAACACATAACACCAATCGAAAGATATTATTTCAATATACATATATAACTGCATCTATAACTAAAAATCGTCAAAATTGCGCTTGCGACAATATTTTACCCAGGCGACGATATGTACATACATACATACATACATGCATGTGTAGTATACATTGGTAGATATGTATACATACATATGTACATACTTATACGAAAAAAAAATTTCTAAAACTTACTTTTTTCACAAGGAGAGCCACCAGACAATGTCATCGTTTTATTGCTGCATTATAGCTGCCAATCTTTAGAAACTTTTCACTGTTCTCCTTTTGTGCTGCCACCACTCTTCACTCTTCAATCACAGTGTAAGTAATGTTATCTGCGGTTGTTCTTTAATATTACATAAATAGATATAATTTATTCAACTTTTTCTTTAAATTATATAAAATACATAAAACATCAGTAGGATTTTTCACACTTAAAATAAATGGTCCCGATTTATTTTTTGTTTTTCCTTAGCGGATATGGATTTCCCCGAACTTATTAAAAATTGTAGTTAATCATTAGTTTGTGTATGTGAGTACGCCATTACACAGGAAAAAATCTTGGACACACGTACATACATATTTATAATATATTTATACGTATGTATATGTTTTCTACAACTATGTATGTATATACACTTGTATTTTTGTAAACGAACGTGCATTTGCTGTTTTCGTGTGTATGCAGATGTATTTAATTTTTAATTTTATTTATTTTTTTTATGTTATGTACATATGTATGAATGTACTATTTACTCAAGTAACAATATTGGTGTTGTTGCTTAGTTGCTTTATTAAAATGTAAGCAACTATCGTCCACCCGATGGACCGACCGTATTCCTGAGAGCTTGTATTGTTACTGCCGCTGCTAGTTGAGCACAATATCGTCTGAACCCCAACGAAATCGGCCAGCTTTACACATAGAGAGGTATGTATGAAAGCATAAAAGCACGGAGTACAAGTAAGTACAAAGCAGCAGCAGCAACCACAACATCATCATACGAAACAAATAGGCTTCGTGCCACCCCAAATTCTCCCCTTCCAACGAGCGTATGTGCATACAAACATACGTACGTACGTATGTATGTATGCATGGGTGTACGAATTTCCGACTTTGTTGAGACACAATCTCTCCCTCTCGTACAGACACATTCTCTTTTTTAGTTACATGATAATGCTTATACATACATACATACATATATAAATATCAAAAATATTGATCGCCATCCAAACCCTGCAAAACCTAATTTTAATAAAAATCTCAACACCCGCATCAAAGCAAAAACCCATACATAGTAGGTATGCATTTATATTTTAGTTTTTTATTCACATACATACATACATACATAGATGTAGGAATATGTGCATAAATTTATTATTAACTTTTACGTAGAACAATATAATAGGTACATATATCAGAACACAGAACCTACATGCATACATATGTATGTACACGTGTGTTCTCGCGTATACGTATGTACATATGTATGTATATGTACATATGTACTGCCCGATTCACTTGAATAGGTACACACAGATATTTTCCTCAAGATCCAAGCTTATGGTGATTACGTTTCTTCCAAAAAAATGTTGTCTTTCCCCGGTGCAAAATGTGTTTGATTACTTGATTACTTTGGTTTTCGTTCCGCTTTTTATCAAACTACACCACGAAAGGCACGAAAGTAAGCATAGCCAGCCCCCCTTATCTGTGTGGCAAAGTAATCAAAATTGCACTTAAAACGTTTTCAAAATTTAAATGGGCGAAGCAGGCGCACTTTCAACTGCAAAAAATTTATAAATGGAGGGCTTCACGGATCCACGGGGACTTTGCAGGCGAAAATGCAACATCGCATAAAAAAATCATGAAATGGAGCCAGAACACAAAAGCTAAATGGAAATAACAAAAGTGGCGTACGAGGTCAGCATCTTGTTGTCGAGATAGTGGACCAAAATGAAAGAAAAACGTTGGTGTTGATGACCTCACAGGAGAACTATAAATTACTCCATACACTTGTGTTCAGAAAATGTTAAAAAGGGCGTCAATTTCACTACACAACGTTAGGAATCATGACTGGAATTTTGTACAACCCGCATGCCTGAAAGGACAACTAGAAAATGATGGTTTTCTCTGGCGAAAAGTTTAATTTTGATCCGTTATAACGGATTTAATAATAATAGTCAGGTTTTTTTTTTTAAACGACGAACGTCAAGAAGAGAGTATGGCGGTCGGAACTGCGATTTCGTAGATTTCCAGTTTCCAAAATTACGAATAATTCATGCAAAAGAAGTATTAGGACATTTGTTGCCTATTTTTGCACCTTGATCTTGAATTATGCACCGATTCACACAACAACAGCTGTAAAAACGAGGATAACGAAGCAAAGTCGTAATTTTCGTCCTATTCACAGGACCTAAATTCAATGGAAAATATTTGGAATTGGATGTTTTGCAAAGTTTGCCTATCCGAAAATTCATGTGATGATTGGCTGTTGTTCTTTCCGGCGTTAAAGTGGAAAGCAGATCTCTAGAATTATCTTCCGAATATAAGTTTTTTCCATACATTGGAATTAGGGATGTAGTATCCAATACTAAAAGTGTTATATAGTAGAACTAAAGTGAATGGCATGCTTTTGTTGGTTCAATCTAGTCCCTTCCTTGTGTTTAAGCCACTGTACTTATTCAAGTGTATCAAAATAATAATACAATCCAATGTAATAGAGGTTTTTTCTCCATTTTCACCAGTTTCCTTTTGAAATTGATCATTCATTAATATTGGATCAAAAAGAAAATTCTGCGATGCCCAATTCAGATATAAGCTCAGATCTGTGGGAAAAATGTGTATCTATTCAAGTGAAGCGGACTATATGTATGTATACAGCATTGAATCCAGTTTTTCGTATACGGGCTGGAAGTAATTTACAGCGTGTACATACATACATACAATAAAAGTTTGACCAAAACACCGGGGTACCACCCTAATCGTGAAAAAATCGACATATGTATGTATGTATGAATGTGCATAAGAAGGGTTTCACTGAACTACCTAACAAGGGACTTTGCATTTAAGGCTACCCTATAAACATTTTGGCGAACGTTCGAAAATTACCTTCGATATCCAATATGAATATCGAACTGAGAACGAACTCATAACCAACCTTGGTTTTCCAACGTTCATAGTATATAGGAAATACATTCGAGATGGGTTCGACAAAAAAACGAAAACCATAGTAATTCCCCTTTCAGACACGTCAAGTCTTAAAAGCAATTTTTATCGCATTCTCTTTTGTGTTTTCTCTTTGCTTCCACACTCGTCAAGTTTTATTGAATTCAAGTCCTTGGATCTTTAAATGGGAAGCAACGAAAATATCAAAAGAGAACAAGAAAACTTGAAACGAATTGACGGTACGAAGGTATCTGTACTCTTCCCCTCTCTTCCCACCTCCTTCGCCAACGAACGAGCAGACTTGAAAGCAAGACTTGACGTGTCTGAAAGGGGACTAACAAGAGAGAAAGTGAGATCCAGCTCATTTTCGAATGGAAATATGTATAATACAATCACTCTCTCTCTCATTAAAATTTAAATTCGATAATGGGCTAGATGTCGAATTCATAACGAAGGAAAAATTCATTGGATAACGTTACGTTACGTTTTGCTGGAGAATGGCCTAGTTCTCGAATCGAATACTAACCTATTGCACATTCGTTATCGAAGGTGTGACTTGAAAAAAATGTTAGATTTCCAATCATTTTCGAATTGTTAACCAAGCCCCATGTTTATTGGGCACATTTATAGCCGAAATTGAGACCAAATGTGTAAATAATAAATTATTGAACATCTAGAGGCCAAGCCTTTTGAATTCACATCTCACTTTTTGTAATTCAACCAAAAGATCTTACAATTATTTTAGACGGGTGGCAACCCTATAGAAATTCTAAGTACTAAAGATAATAGCCCTATCGATACAGATTATATTAAGTAAAACCACTTCCAAATCTGTTCAGTAATTTTCGAGCGTAATACCTAATAATAATAGATAATAGATTGGCACTTATACATACATACATACGTACGTTAGTACTTAGCCGAGTTTCTCCGATTTGTGACGTGCGATTTTTTGCTGTCACACAAAGGGGAGGGACCTACAGTTTTACGCCGATGTCGAACGGCGACTGCGTTTTTACCATAGCCATTTTTCATGACAGAAATACACTCAGAGGTTCACCATTGCCTGCCGAGGGGCGACCGCTATTAGAAAAAACCTATTTTTTTTATATGTATTTGATGTTCGGTGGAAACGGTCTTTAACCCAAGCTCTGCGGAAGGGTACCGCGCACTGCACCACAGCGATCGCACATTACAGATTGGCGTGGTCAAAACATCTTGACTTTGCTTAATACTATGTTCTAGGGCTGTGCGATTATTCGATTACTCGAGCAAGTTGGTTAATCAATTATTCGGTTAATCAATTACTCGAGTAATCAAGATTTTCATTACTCAAAACGATGATTAATCGAGTTACTTGAAATATGATTACTCAAAAAAAATAACTTTGCTCGTAATAGAGTTTGCTTTGGAAAATGCTTATTTTCTTTTTTACATTCTGTGTATGAAAAAAATTTTTTGTTTTAAATTTTGAAAACAGAAACGTTGTTTTCAAAGTATCAAGGAACTTTAACTACTTTATACATATGTAAAGAGTTGAAATGTTGATTACTCATTTTACTCGAAATGTTGATTAATCATAAAGCATTTTACTCAAATATTTTTGTTTTTGGTTAATCAAAAATCTTGATTACTCGAGTAACTGAACTTTTGAGTAATCATAATTTTCGATTAATCGAATAATTGAGTTATTTACTTTATGATTAATTAAAATTTTGAGTAATCAATTAATCGCACAGCCCTACTATGTTCGGATCAAAGAGTATTTTTTTAATTTTTAAATAGGTGGCAACTCTACTAAAAAAAATAGTTTTTTTTTTATACATGCGGAGGCTATCTCATTTTGTTATCCAAAGAACGGCGAAGGTCTTTTAATTTTTAAACAGGTGGCAATCCTACCCTAAAAAGAATAAATTTTTGCACATCTATACGCTAAGTCTTTTCATTTGGAAGTGAAAAAATTCCTTGAATTTTAGTACAGTAAAGTGCAAGTTTGAAGTAGCTAGGATTTACCGTTAATTTTTGGATTTTTTTTTTTACGGTGTAACGCATTTTTTCATATAGTATGTTCGATAATATTTTAAAAGAGAAGCAAAGGTCGTTTCCTTTTTTCGCCGATTCTTTGCTGATTGTTTGGAATATCTTTTCATATGTTCAGGTGAAGCGATAGACAACAGAACACATTCAAAAACATTTGCAGACAGCTCACAAAAATGATTTTTTTTTTTTTGTTGAAGGTGCTTCCCGTTTTTCATACAAAAGTATGTTTGACAATTTTCTTTTATATGGAGGACACTGCCAGCAAAAAAAAAATTGCCAAAAATTAACGGGATTTTATATCAGCTTGAAACTTGCACTTCATTATACTAGAATTAAATAGTCTACAAAACTGCTTACCAGAATTCTGATTAAATGAAATTTGAAAATTTGGTGAAAATAAGCAGAACTTGTCTAATTTTTTTACAAAGTTTGAAATCTGAATTTATATCATGGAACAATAATTACAGGTATTGTCTTCCCAGGGAGCGCATATTCCGATCTGCCTTATTTGAAAAACATCATTGTTGTCCACACTAAACGGTTTACTTCAAGGGAAAAGGGATATTTCCATACCCCTGATACCATATATGTATGTGCACGTATTTTTTTTTAACCAAACCTTCTTGCAGAGGACTTATTTAATTTGCAATAGCCGAA